AAGTATTGTTCTCTTTACGTAATTCCTTCACCATTTCTTCAGTTGTTGCCTAACTCCTCGGTCGGACTTATTGGTGTAATCGATGATGTAGGATGCGCACGTATATGGGTCGAGTACGTATTGCAGATCCATATTGGACCTCATCGTAGACAGTATTTTTGGTGAGTACGGGTTAATCATTACATCCGAGGGATTACGGCGCAGGTAAACCTTGCATCTTCGTAGTTCGGCCCTTATTGCTAGCAAGTATTCTTCTTCTGAAACTTGACACCTTTCCAGAAATTCATCAAAACTAATGCTGTTCAAGTTTTCGCTCTCCGTCAAAACACCTTTTATTCGCTTTAGCACTACTGCAAGGCGCTCACGCTCCTGCTCATCAGTGTTTTCCGGCAATGGCCGCAGAATTCGGGTATTGCGCATTGGGTAAAACGGTATCCCAAATCTGCACTTTCCTGTCTTACGTTTTCCACACGTAGCAGCATGCCTGTGGTAATGGAATTCAAGATAATGTGGACTGCGACTGGGTCTTTGTTGGTCCTGAATGTCAATTGCGAAGGAGCATGCAATGAATCTGTCGATGAAATTGCACACTTCACGTTCATTTTGACCGGAGACCGTGTCGAAAACCGGTGCATCGCTTAACCAGAGGAGTTGATGTATGTGAGGTGACCCTCACTGCTGAAATTCCACTCTATAATATGAGTGTGTAATTGCTATGCCTTGGAATGGACCGCCAGGAAGATCCCATAGCTTTCTCTGTTCTTGATACCGGTAATTAAAGTACCGTGCACAGGTAGCTGGATCCAACTGAATCAGTCGTGATTTTTCAGTAACGGTAATATAAGAGCTTCTGCTGAAGTAATGCTTTCGTTATCAGCAACCCGTTTCAGAATTTGAAGAAGTTCGGGCCACTGTGTCTCAGCCGCGGAAAGAGTGAGGAAGAAGGTTGGCAGTCCAAACTGCCTCACCATTGCCAATACTTTCTGCTTTTCATTGTGCCAATGTGTGCAGGAATTTCGCACACCAGTAAGAACACGATATGCATCATCGTGCTGTACAAGCCCGTGGATGAAATCATTGTTGCTGAGATTAGCGGCATTGATGTCATTGCGGTTGCGGATTTTCTTTTTCCGCAAACATAAAGATATGTTGCTAGACAATCTCAGCAACTCAATCTTCTTGGCCATGAATAATAAGTAATCG